AACAGGGAGATAGGAGTCGTGGCATCTTTGCCGGTCGCCTATCATGAGGTGATGGTGGAGAAGAGGCTCGATGATGTGACGGGATAGGTGATGGCTCTCGTTCTAGAGATGTATAGTCGGGTCGATCGGGTGATGGCTCTAGGTGAGGTGATGGCTCTCGAATTGGAGGAAGTGGATGCTGCTCATCATCCGTGCCATCAAAAAAATTCTGACTAGCTTGCCACCAATCAGTGGCAAGCTCTTCCTCCGTGGGTGTCAGTCTTTGTAATGGAATGTTGGCCTCCTAAAATATAAAAACTCAAACAAAGTTAAACGTCTACTATTAATAACTTGTTTATATATTATATGAAAGTATTTGTGTTAACTTACATTATTTATTGTGGCATATGGTATTAAGTCTTCCCAATCCAACAGAGTTTTCCTCTTCCAGGAAATAGCCCTGGGAATATCATTTGACGTTTTTATTGCATATGTACGCATGCTGGGGAAAGCCTCGAATATCCAAATCTACAAACAATATAATAACAAAATTAGTAATTGTTAAATAATTAATTATAATTTTAGAAACATTATATAGAAATTCTTACCTTAAAGGCCCAAACAAAGCCTGACAAAGTGTATTTGGACCCATCGCCCCGCAAACTTTTGCGGTCATCAAAGGCAGACGACAACTTAGTCCAGGTAGCTTTCCATATATACGAACCCCACGGAAACAGATTCCATGCATTCAGGTCCTCTACCAATATTATTAGCTCCCGATGAATAGGTTGTCTGGCCTCTCTGCCTAAAAGCCGGCATACACAAGTAGTAGAAGGCATACTCGGACAACATCGACGTCTTCCATCCGAGTGAAACCAGCTTTCTTATTAAATAATTTCTTCAGGTCGTCGACATGTAGGTTCGGCTTCTCCATTGACTCATCCGGAAAAACCCGGGATAACCATGATGGGCGGGCGATATGACGAGTGTACCGGCCTACATCATCGTGTCCGAATCGTAGACCAGTGATTAAGCAGAACTCCTTCCGCCCAAAGCAAGTATACGCTGGTGGAAAATGAAACCATATCTCTTCCTCACCACGTTGTATACTGTCGGGTAGATTTGATGTCATGGTCTGAAGCCACAAATGGGTCAAATTAGCATCTCCACCCGGATGCTGTACTCTCAGCCATGGCCCGAAGCAGGTTTCCTCAAACAATTGTCTTTGAGCAGGTGAAAGCTTCTTTGCAATTGTAGTGGCCAGGCTGACTTTATTTCTCAAGGTCAATTGAGCCGAAAAAAATTTCTACAAAAACAATAAACATACCAAGTTAGATATACCAAAAACTACACTGTGAAGATATACCAAAAACAATAAACATAAAAAGTAGTAGTTTATTCTTGAAACTAAAATTTGCAACACTGTTTTGTCTTTTGGTTGAAATGAAAATCGCAACGAGAGAATCGCAACGCGAGATGACAATCGCAACGAGAGAATCGCAACGCGAAATGAAAATCGCAACGAGAGAATCGCAACGCGAAATGAAAATCGCAATGCGATTTTGGTTTCGCGTTGCGATTCTCTCGTTGCGATTTTCATTTCGCGTTGCGATTCTCTCGTTGCGACAGTCATTCTCTCGTTGCGATTTTCATTTATCTCGTTGCGACTCTTCTGCAAATTGAAACTTGAATGGATTGCATTACTTCAACCAAAAGACAGAACAAAGACAAAGACAAATACTAACTTGAAAATCGCAACGAGAGAATAGCAACGCGAAATGAAAATCGCAACGACAGAATCGTAACGCGAAATGAAATCTAAGTGAAATGGTTAATCTATTATTGAAATGACCAGTAAACTTATCATCAGTTTCAATATGAAAAACCTACAATAATGCAAACATTTCAAAATAAAATAATTAAAAAACTAACCCTCGGAGGTTGATTTTCCATTTCTGAATATTGTGAGGGATTTCTGACCGTGAATGGTTGTGAGGGATTTCGCCGGAGATGGGGACGGAAATCTTCGGAGATGGGGACGGATTTCTTCGCCGTAGAGAGTGAGAGATGGAGATGGGACTGAGTTGTGATTTTAGGTTTTAGGTTATGAGTTGCGATTACGGGATTTTGTCTTAATATTCTTTTTGTAATTTGAAAATAAAATACGCGTAGCGATTATAATGGCGCTTTAAATATCGCGTTGCGATTTACGGATACGCGTTGCGATTTTATGTATTATCGTTGCGATTTACGGATACGCGTTGCGATATACGGATACGCATTGCGATTTACCCATACGCGTTGCGATTTACGGATACACGTTGCGATTTACGGATACGCGTTGCGATTTATGTGTTCGCGTTGCGATTTTCATATTCGCGTTGCGATTATGGAAAATCGCAATGCGAATTTGTACTATCGCATCGCGATTTTCAAGAATCGCGTTGCGATTTTGGAAACTGATTTGCGATTCTGGAAACTGATTTGCGATTCTGGGGATCGCGTTGCGATTTTTATTTCGCGTTGCGATTTTGTTGGTCATTTTGGCAAATCCAAAAAAAGTTGGTTAAAATCGTATATTATAACTTTTTTTTGGTCACTGAGGCGATTTTCTCTTTTGTAATTTATTTTGGGCTTCCCTATTGGGCCAAAAGAACCTGCCAGCCAGCCCGTATGCTGCTGAGTAATTAGGATATTGCATCTACAAATTACATTTATTTATGGTCAAATTTTATTAAAAGTCCCTAAGTGTTTTTGGAAATTTAGTCCATTTACTATAATTTGATTACTTTCAGGCATTTTCCCTATAACTATCGATATCTAACCTATTTGTAACAAGTCACTTGGGCAAGGCGGGGTGCTCTACCCACACTTATCCTGTCAAGAACTTTTATCTGTTGTGGGTATAAAATCTAAAATTATCCATATCCGACAACTTGCAAGACTAAAATCATTTTTGGCCCACCATCTATGTGAGTCTCGAGAACCACTTGACAAGATTGGCCCTGAGTCAGGGTAAGAGGGGCGCTTGTTCAGGATAAATTAAAAAATTATTAATATAATATTTTCTCTTATTTTTATAATAAATTTTTAAAAAAAAAATTAAAATAAAATTATGGGGAGGAGGGGCGCTTATCCGGGAACCATAAATTAAAAATATTCTTAATATAATACTTTCTCTTATTTTTGTAATAAATTAAAAAAACTTTAAAATAAAATTATGGGCCCATAAATTTATTAAGGTGTCAATTGTTATTATTAAATTTTTATATTAACGTTAATAAATTGTTCCGTTTCTCATAAAACTCTAATTCAATATTTATTTTCCAAAATTCAAAAAAAAATCCATTTTCAATGTAAAATATTATTGACGTTATTTTTTTCTCTTCAAAATTCAATGGGATGAGAAAATTTAAATATAATTAGCATGTTTTTTTTCTCTTACATTTTTCACAATTTCTATGAAAATTATTACTCTCGTTTTTTTAATTTCTCATATTTTTTCACAAACACAAAGTCATAATTGTTTCCAAATTCTTACTTTTGATTTCTATATATCTCTAAATTATAGATAAGATTATTCTTTTATTTGCAAATACCATGTTATGTATTCAGAAAAATATATTAGAAAGCATTGATGTTACCACTATCATTAATTATTTTACATTAAGAAATGCTCAAAAACAATATTTTTTTATATTTGTATGCTTAAATATATTTTTAATATAGTAATGAATTATTATTTGTTTAATTTAATAAAAAATTATAATAAAAATTTATATTAATTTTTAAATTTCTTTTAAATTAGGGACTCATTTTTTTATTTCACCAAGAGCCAAAAGAATAATCATTCGATCCCATTATACCCAACCCACGATATGAAAATGTTAAAATTGCTTGAAAATTGAGAAACTATAATTTCGTGAGTGCTCTTCTGTTTTAAAAAAAATAACAGTAAGCGTAAGTTGCACGAATCAAGTGACATTCGTAATAAAAGAATTATTGTTATTCTTAAGGATTGGGGTTCGAACACCATAACACTTAAGTGTTATCAAAATTATTTTTTAAATATATTTATTATGTACGTTGGGAGGATAAAGATTCGATGGACAAAAAGTTACATCTGCTTCATTTGGGTTTTTTTTCCAATAAGACAGCCCATTATATTTTTTTTCAAAATAGGACACATATTTTTATTTTGAGATTCACGACATTTTCTACGTTATATAAAAATTGTCATCTTGAGGTGGCGAGTTTCAATGAAACATTATTTTTTATTCAAACTTTTTATTTCGATGTGATAAAAAAATTATTGAAACTCGTCACCTCAAGATGACGAGTTCTGAACACTGTAACATTTGTCGTATTCTCTAAAATAAAAACTCGAATACCCTGATGGGCTAAATAAAAAAACCGGATGCACTAATCGGTCAAGGTCGCTTCATTATCCATAACGGGTATGATTGTTATCTTCATTCTCCCAACACCACATGTAAAATCTTTACCCATCTTTGTCCAATTAGGTACAAAGTGGTATCCATCCTCATTAATCTCGTCTCACTAACATCCCATTAGTCAATTAATTCTAATTAAATACTATAATAATCTAACGTGAATAATTTTTTAATCTAATTTACATAATTTTAATTTGACAAGACTTATTTTTAAAAAATATGTGGTGAGATACCATATTCATTTTGACAATTTTATGCAGTTGAACAAATACTACACCTTTCTTTTATCTTGCAAATGTGCAAATATTTGTCAAATTGATAAAAATATCAAATTATATATGTCATATAGTACATGCACTTTCTATAGAATTTGACCTTCATTTATTTGTTGTACGTGTAAACTATGAATCTTCTAAAATCATGCCATAAACCAGAAATTAAGTCTGTGGGTCTGCATAAATCTCTATAGTGAAATTCTTCTATGCACAAATTGGTAGCTAAGGGTAATATATATACAGCAGAATGCAAAATCTAATCCATACTTACCCCCCAGATTTCTGTTGGCTATTTGTTAGTTTACATGCAAAAACCATCATCCCACCCCCTCAAAATAATAATAATTCGGTTTTAGTCCTTCAGAATAAGCCTCACATTTTGAGCCTTCACTGACAACTTCAGCTTCTGTTCCTCCATGTCTTTCAGAACAGCCATGAGTTTTGCTCGATACCCTTCGCACAGTCGACTTGCTTGTTCCACCTCTGTGTTTAATTCCTCGATCTTCTTCTCCTGATCCTGCAATCAAGCAACCCAAATGAACATAAACTGAAACAACTACTGATGATGACTTTCGAGGCATAGCATTTCGGAGTATCTCAAACGTAAACTTCTGCTATAATGATAATGACATTGTGTTCAATGCAGCGGATGTTCTGCAGATTACCAACGGCAGAAAATTTACAGCGACAATTATCAAATGGAACTCACCTTGGAGCCGGATTGATTTTGCTGCCCTGAATTTGAAGGAAGCCTTTTTGTTACTGCACAAGCAACTTTCCTTGCAGCCTCATGAATGGCATCGAAGGCGGCGTTACAAGCATGCATTGATACTGTCCCCTCTTCCACGAACTTGATGGCTTCATGACACAAATTGTCGTAACGAGCAGCATAGGACTCTAAACTGTTACTTGTTATTTCTACGCTACAACCATCAACTGTAATCCCACTTTTAGCGTTTCTTGTCCACCGTTTTAGTATATAATGAGATGGCAATGTCAGTACATTTGTTACCCTAAAAACTGCTAATACATGCTTACAGATAATACCTGAAAATTCAAACATCTGGCAGCTACAACTAGCTTTCTTTCTAAAACCATTGAACTTCACAAAATGTGCTTTCTGGTCTTCTCCGAATTTGGTTACTCGATACGTTACTTCTAATCCCGTGTCATCGATTACAGTTGCAGGATAAGCAAGAGTCTCAACCAATTCCTCTTGGAATTTCATAAATATCTTCTTTGTGTAAAGGTTGGCTATTTGATTTTCCATAGGAGATGGAGTTTTTAAAGCTGGAGATGTATTTAATGTATCGCAATCAGCCTTCACTTCTTTTTCATATCGGCTTGCAACAGCTTTTTCGTATTGTTTAATAAGACCCTGTGCATTGGTTGACACATTTATATAACCATCAAAATACGAGTTTGTAGAATCAGTTCCTTGGGTTACGGACATCTCCCCAAAGAATGTGTTCCGAAGATAAACAGGCACCCAATGGTTTCGAGTGTTGTACATTGACTGCAGCCATTCATTATCTTCAAGACCGTATTGTAGAAGAAGGAACTCCCAACGTGATTCGAATTCATCCACCGTCTCTGTCAACTTGATGCATCTTTGGAACTCGGCTTCAAAAGTGGGATGTGAGTGATATACATCCGCAAGCTTGTCCCGAGCTTCTCTAAACACATTCCCCATACAAAACCGGTGACGGGTCACTGGGAAAACTCGTGCAACAGCTGCTCTTATGATCCTGTCCTGGTCTGTCGTAATTGAAATAGGGTGTCGGCCTGACATTGCAGCCATCAAAGTCTGGAATAACCAAACGAAAGAGGACTCTGACTCGTTGAGAAGCAAAGCACATCCAAACAAAACAGGCTGTCCATGATGATTCAAGCCAGTGAAAGGGGCAAATGGAACACGGTACCAGCTAGTTCTATACGGCGTATCAAACGTAACAGTGTCCCCAAACTTATTGTAATTCTCTCTGCAATGAGCATCAGCCCAGAAGATGTTTCCCGTGGGGTTATCAAAATCACCTTGAACTGCACAAAAGAAAGAAGGATCCTCATTTTGCATTCGCTTCAAGTAGTCGAAAACAACCTGGCCTCCGCTCCCAAGAGTCCTCTGCCGACTACTACTCATATAATTCTGGCAATCAACTTTAGTAAATCCAACATTATTGATTCCACCAGATTCCTTAATCAACACAGACATCACTCCACTCGGACCCATCCCAGCAGCTTGAAGGGTATCAATGAGGCTGCGAGCAGGTCCAGAGACATGCCTGTGTGAACGAAGACAATGCACTTTTTCTGGCGGCACAAGCTCATGGTTATGGTCTTTAACAAATTTCGACACAACCCATTTCCCAGCAGACTGCTTCTTGACGGTAATTTGTGCCCTACAACCAACCCGAGTGACGGTCCGCTGGCGCTTGGACCTATTCTGACCGGATGCTCTACGAAATCCCTCACGGGAGCAAACGATTTGGCGGCATATGATCGACCCGTCACGGCGCGAGCGCTGGTAGACACTAACCCGAGTGCTAAAACCCATCCGGCGAGCATATGAATTGTAGAAAACACGAGCAGACTGCTCGGAATCGAATCCCATACCCTCAAAGGGCTCGAGATTGGGGTCGGCCGAGGCGGGAACAGGTCGAGCTACATGGCTATGATCATCAAAAGGAAGTGGGTTTTCCAAGTCAAGGGCGGTGGACTCGTCATCAAACTCAACAACATTTACAGAATGAATATCCATTTGAGAATTACTCAGAAACTCAGCTCAGTGCAGTACTAAACAAAGCAATCCAAACTACATGTAAATATATCTTAAGAACTAAGAAACAAGAGTAACTGGCAAGTGATTGAGGAGTTGGAGGGTTTGGGTTTTGGCTCCATGTTCCATTTCGATTCATAAACAATTGAAAGTTGAAAGCAGAAGAACTAGTGGAAAGAGATAAACTGACCGGATCACGGCTGCTGCTGCACCTGTTGGTGTTGCACCAGGAAGGAAGAGAGGGAAATCGTTTGGATTTCTGGGTTTTTTACACTTCATGTGCAAACTGCAAGAGGCAACTGGCAATTGCCATCCCAAATTATTAGATGAATTTAGATTTAAATTTGTTCTAATTTAATTATCAAAAATAATTTTAATCTCTTAAATTCTAACTTTAACTAATTTAATTTAAAATTAATTTCAACTTAAATTATACTATTTAAAAATAATTCAATTTTAATATCAAATTATTATCTTTAAAAGTGATGGGGTCGAATATTTATAATCAAATAATTGAAAATTTATTAAATATTTATTATTTTGTAATCACGCAGACTAATAAAAAATGATGAATGAAAATAAAAATATATTTTTTGTAGTTAGATCGAATATAAATTTTAACCTTAAAATTCAAATCAGATTTTAAATCAAATATCTTAAAGTCAATTTCGAATGAAGAGTATTTAGATCAAGTAAATTTGACCTAAAATTCAATCCAACTCGGCATTCGTATTTATATTAACCACTACTCCACAATAGTTATTTTATTTCCTTATTAGTTTAATCTTTTATTTTTCATTAAAAGTAATTTGAAATATATTTTAGTTAATTCATATTTAGATTTTATAGAAAAATATAAATATTCAACGTGTTATGCTTATTATTATTCTCTTCTGCCTTTTTTTTTTATTAAGTTAAGGTAATTACGAATTAATATATGTTCTAAATATTTTTAATTATTTAATAATAAACGCTCAATCATATTGTTATACAGTCTTTGGTATTCGAATATGTGACCTCAACAAGCTTGTTAGTGGAACTCTTTCCTACTTTTCGATTTCAGGTAACAGTACCATATGGTTTTTTGTATTATATCTCAAACTATACTTAATTCCTTTATTAAAAAATGAGTAAATAAAGTTCAATACATTTTAAAATGAACAAACTGATTCATCCGTGATAGTAGAGAACTTTTTTAATCCTCAACATTTAGAAATTTAATTATTTTAACCCTTAATAGTAGAAATACCAAAATATAATGCTTGTATAAAGACTCTTATGGTACTTTTACCTTCCACACAATAAACTTTTATTATTTGTTAGTTATGATGTCAAAAGAACCAAGTAGAAGTGTAGAACTCTAGGGTGGCGTTTGGTTCGCTAGCATATTTCTGAGGGAATTGAAATCTGTGAAAGAATTAGAATCTGTCAGGAATTGGAATCCAATTTCATATTCTATTTGGTTGGCAGGAAATTGAATTGGAATCCAATTTTATATTCTATTTGGTTCGCAACATGTCAGATGAATTTGATTTCAATAATGTAAAATGACAGGATTGCCCTTCTTCTTTTTTTTTTTTGCTTAATTTTAGTTTGTTTTATAAATTACATGTAGTAATATATTATAAAAATTTAAAAAAAATTATTGATTGATTATTCATTTCAATAAATTATAAAAATCATGCTAATAAACATCATAAGTTAAAATCGTCCCAATTAGAGATGGCCATGGGTCGGGTTGGGTCGGGTTTTTGGTCCACCCGACCCGACTCGAGAACAAGGGAACCTCCATCCGAGACCCGACCCGACCAAAATAAAGTTTCACCCGACCCGAAATAATAAAAAAATATTTTTATTCAATAAAAACAATGACTTAATTGGAAATAATATATAGAGAGAGGGGTATTATTGTAATTATTCCTAAATATATAAGGTAAAATTATATATTTTTTGGGTTGGGTCGGGTATTTTTCACCCTAAATTCGAACCCGACCCGAATATCACACTTAAAAAAACCGACCCGACCAAAATAAAGTTTCACCGACCCGACCCGAATATAAGAATTAGAAATCCGACTCGACCCGACCCAAAATAATAAAAAATATATTTTTATTCAATAAAAACATTGACTTAATTGGAAAAAAATTATATGTAGAGGGGTATTATTGTAATTATTCCTAAATATATAAGGTAAAATTATATATATTTTCGGGTCGTTATTTTTCACCCTAAACCCGAACTCGACCCGACCTGAATATCACACTTAAAAAACCAACCCGACCCAACCAAAATAAAGTTTCACCCGACCCGACCCGAATATATAAATTAGAAACCCGACCTGACCCGAAATAATAAAAAAATATTTTTATTCAATATATGAATAAGTTACCAAAATATTGATGATGGTGACGGATCCCAACTGCTTATATCCGGGCGATTCGTGATATGTACTGTAGATCTACTACTTACGTCAGGACTACAGTTGGCGACACCGAGGCATTCCCGGTGGAAATCGGACTCCACCAGGGGTCGGCTCTTAGCCCTTACATCTTCGCCTTGATTATGGACGACATCTATTGTGCGACACCAGACGGTGTACCATGGTGTATGCTTTTCGCTGACGACATTGTCTTAGTTGCTGAAACAAAATCTGATTTGAATAGCAGACTGGCTACCTGGAAGACTGCTTTGGAAGAAAAAGGTTTAAGGATCAATATTGAAAAGACAGAGTATTTATGTTCAAACTTCAATGGGAACCAAAACGATGAAGATGTAGAAGTATGCATAGAAGGACACGTTCTCCCCTCAAAGGATTGTTTCAAGTACCTAGGGTCTATGATACATAAAGATGGGGGTGTAGATGATGACGTTACACACCGTATAAAGGCGGGATGGCTAAAGTGGAGGGCCGCTACTGGAGTTCTGTGTGACAAGAAGGTCCCTCTAAAACTTAAGGGAAAATTTTATAGAATGGCAATAAGACCAGCGCTATTGTATGGATCAGAATGTTGGGCAACCAAGAAGGATCACGTAAGGAGGCTTGAGGCCGCAGAAATGAGAATGCTTCGATGGACATGTGGTAGGACTCTGAGGGATATGACGACAAACTCTGCTATTAGGATGTCCTTGGGGGTGGTGTCTGTTTCCGAAAAATTGAGGGAGGGAAGACTACGGTGGTTTGGGCATGTCCTTAGGCGACTACCGTCGGATGCGGTAAGGAGGGTAGAGTCGATTACAGTCGACGGTGCCAGAAGGAAAGGACGACCAAGGCGAAAGTGGGAAGACTGCTTAAGATCTGATTTGAGGGATTTAGCCCTTACCGAAGACATGACCTCTGATAGGAAAATATGGAGGCTAAAGACTAGGGTAGTCGAGTAGTGTGGGTCACATCTATAGGGTGTATCATCTCTGTCTTCTTTTAATGTCTTTGTAGTATTTCCCATGACTTATACTTTTTATACGTTTCTGTTATTGGTATTTATGAAGGATTAGAACTGGGCTTGCTAACGTTGACTTCTGTGTATCATTCTCTTCATGTTTCCTCTTTTAAATTTAGTCGGATCTTATGTTTCTGTCTATATGCAGAGATTCTTTCGCAGGGATTATTATGCAGGGATTAATTCCCGTTACAGACGCACATATGATTTTAATGACTGCATATGAATACTGTTTAGCTATGTATTTATGTATTTATTTATACATGCATTGCATTTTATCTAAATTTTTAATTTTCTGACTGCCGGAGGTCTTCCACGGAAGCTACTCTCAACCTGGCGTTGGGGGTAGCCTACTACCCTACCTCCCCCTTACCCCATACATATGGGAATTGGGTTTTGTTGTTGTTGTTGTTGTTGAATTCCATCATAGAATGGATGGAATTCACTTTCCCTCATTTGATGGAAAGTTGAAGCCATAAGGGATTCAAATTCCCTTGAAAAACTTGAACCAAACATGAGAAACTGGTAGAATTGAATTCCAATTCCCCTTAATTTCAAGGGATTCATGTCAATCAAACGACATCTAGTAGTTGGTCCATTACTTGTCTGCACGTTCATAAGGTTAAAATTCAAGTTCGAATTTCAGTAACAGTCTGCTTATAATGTGTGTGTTAGTGATTTAAGTGAAACAAAAGCAAATTAGATAGTGAAGTGAGAAAACATGTATAAATCCAAGGACCAAATAGTAAATAAATTATAGGTAAATAATATAAATGATCTTATGACTATAGGACGTTGCTTTGTTGAGTACCATGACTATTAAAAGTTATAAAATGATCTCCCAACTATAACACACGTTTTTGTTGAGATCATCAACTATTAAAAGTTAAAAAATAATCACTCGATTATTATTATGTTTCAAACTCGTCATTTTCTGTTAAGAAGTTGATGATTATCTAAGATGGACATTAATTTATTGATCGAGATATTATAAAATTATATTTTAATGATGTCTACATACACTATCATTGCTTTCAAGCATTGGCTTGTTGACCTATTGTTTCAAGTACTAGCTCGACTCCGTTATGTAAATGGAGAGTCGATCGACAAAATACAACTCAAGTGGTTTTTGGATCATATTTTATTATATTTCAATTAACAAGTTAATGTTTAGCTCAAACGACTGCAAAATTTTTAACTAAAAATGACGAGTTCTGAATTTAACAATAGAAGACTCAACAAAGCATCGTCTTATAACCAAATGATTGTTTATAACTTTTAACAATAGGGGACTCAAAAAAATAATCTTGTGATTGAGGGACCATTTGTGTATTGTACCCATTAATTATATAAAGTGTATGAATACTGGATTGAAAAGAAAGTGATATTGGGAGGAAAGTCATGAAGCGGGAACAAAGCAAAGTGACCAAATACATCGTACCCTACGACTTAATATAAACAACACAGCTGGTTCCCACGCGTTAGTATACTGCCTCTGCCGTGAATACTATCCAGACCAAGTCACTTCCCAGTACCCACCCCTGTATTAACGAGAGTTCAAAGAAGGATAATATAATTTAAGATAATAAATAATTAAAAATAAATAGTTAAGATTTAAAAATTTAAATTTATAAGATTAAATTTGAATCTTACTACTGTCACTTTTTGGTAAACAATCAATAAATTCCTATATAAATTCTCATTGAATATTAGGTATGTCCCGACCATGAACTTAGTAACCCATGATTTAAACTTTTATTTAAAAAAAAACTAAAATGTTAATCTTTTCTTAATTTTTTTATTAAACCAAAAATATTACATTATTTATAATATTTTAG